GCCACGGAATACTGGGCGAGAGCCTCCTCACTCTGGAATTCCCTTTTCACATCTTCCTTCCCCACACAATCCCTCCAACTGCTCCTCTTGACTAACATCCCCAATCAGGCTCGGAGGGCGGAAAGAATCTGGTTTGAACTCATCAGGAAAGTGACACTATGGGTCATATGGAAGGAAAGATGCAGCAGGACAATCGAAGGGCACGTCAACCATAGGGAAGACTGGTCAGAGGACGAAGACCAACGGAAGAAGGAAAGGGCGAGGTTCTATAACAGCTGGCTGTTAAAGGGCAAGATTGCAGAATTGAGTGAGGACCGGATACAGTGGAAAGATTGGTATAATTCAATTCCGGAAAGGAATCCTCGTCAACAGACAAGGTCGGAGGTATCAATCATGGTCTAGGCCGAACGGGATTGGATTCTATGCTTCAAGAGTCCCAAGGAAGTTSACTAAAKGAGGGCACAGGGGAGGAAATAGGTCAGAAAAGGTGGTAGACTATCCCGGAATAAGAAGGTAGAACRGAGTGTCATGGCCCAAAGGATACAGAGAGACGGTTTGAAAAGARGGGGGGAAAGTCTGAGRCCGAGCAAACAAGGTAACAAGGATGAAGGGAGGGACTCTCTCTAGGTAATTCGGTTAYATCTGGCAGACCCGGTTACTAGGTCTGAGAGGAGAGAGGAAGGTTGGGCAAGCGGTCAGTTAACTTCCCACTATGGAGGTACAATGATCAACACTGTATACAGAAAAGAGGGTTTAGGGTTTAAGGTCGAAAGGCATCCCAATCAAGGTACAGGAAGTATGAATGGGTAGGGTTTAGGCAAAAARGAYAATTGAGGGTYTYTCTCCAGAATGATAGTCAMTATCTGGCAGACTCKAACACCAGAGCTGAGAGAAGAGAAAGGGTCAGGGCAAGCTGACAGTCAATCCTCCACAATTGTGGAGCAATCAATGCTGTTCAGGGGTCCTTCGGCCAAACGGAAGGAAGCGTGTGTGAGTTCTTAATTGATGTATAAATTTTATGACTTGCCGGGGGAATAGGAACCGGACTTACGCTCCCCAGAATAGAAGGAGCCAGGACCGTAAGGCCTGTTTTAAAAAAGAAAAAAGAAAAAAAGAAATGCAGTACAGAAAAGCACAGTGCAATACAGAAAAAAGTTCAAAAAACAAACAGATCGAATTTTGCCCGGTAACGGCAGCAAGGGTACTTGCTTACAATTCATGTTGGCATTGCATGGGTGTCCACCTCCTTTGGGTATCCTTTTCCACTGCTCCAGTGAACTTTAAGTGCTGGTCAATCTGGCTCGGCTACACTCATGCTGAACCACTCTGTCATCTCACCGTACTTCCCTTGGTGACCCCTTCTGCCCCACCCAATCCAGGGCAAAAAAAAGGGGTCACCCCAATTTCCACCTTCTTTACTCCTACCCCCTCCCCTGGCAAAGCTACTTCTGTGAACGACTCTTGGTCTATGGCTCAACCCACCTTTCACGCGCTCTCCCTTTCCGTCTAACATCTCCAGTTTGTTTCCCCGCAAGTGCTGTCTGCATGGCTTGCCTGATAAAGCTGCGAAGGACTATGTTTTCAGCTAGAGGCCACTGGCCAGGGGTTGGAGTGCTCCTGACCCCGTTCCTTCCAATGCCTCATGCTGCATTCCGTCCAAACCCATGCCTGCCCCACTTTTGGGGTTCAGGCCCTTCAGCGTTTAGCCTTTTTAGGCTTTATGGCTCTCAGAAAGCTGTGAAGGACTATGATCCCAGTCGCAGGTGACTGGCGGGGCAGTTGGCAGTGATGATTGATGCAACAACATCCTGCCCAGGTCGATAACCGTCCATCCTTTGGACAAGGTTGTAGTTGAATAGCTTCGTCCTTTCTTACCAAGCAGATTGCCTGTTTGTAGTATTTAATGAAAAATAAAAAAAAATAGTAAAATACACATTTGATAAAAGAATCCCCACACAATCAGGAGAGGATCTTTTCCAGAAGCGCTGTGTGGCTTGGTAACTTTGGTGGCTGCTGCTCTCTTTGAAAAACAGACACATGAGACTATATCAATTGGTCGCTGTGCCAATGCACTGATTCACTTTCACAATCAATTTACCCCTCGAGTGGAGAGAGGCAAAGAAGCAGACTGTGGCGAACAGCCTGCTGGGAGAAGCACAGGTGAGAAGTCATTCACATACACTTAGCAAAGCTGGAAGCCGTTTTGCAAAAACCAATCACTTTCACAATCAATTTACCCTTCAAGTGGAGAGAGGCACAGAGAGGCAGAGAGGCAGACTGTGGCGAACAGCCTGTCGGGAGAAGCACAGGTGAGAAGTCGTTCACATACACTTAGCAAAGCTCGAAGCCGTTTTGAACAAACCAATCACTTTCATAATCAATTTACCCCTCAAGTGGAGAGCGGCAGAGAGGCAGACTGTGGCGAGCAGCCTGTCAGGAGAAGCAAAGGTTAGAAGTCATTCACATCCATTAGCGAAGCTCGAAGCCGTTTTGAACTCAGACAATATGAGTTGTCAACCAAGCGCTGAATACGAAAAAATGACTCAGACAAGTTCAACCTTCAAGGCAAGACAAAACAAAGCTTCACACTTCGTACGCCATAAACCCCATCACTATAGCTGTACCTCCCAGTACGAATCGGCACAGCAGCTCCTCCAACCGCTTTCATCTGCCAACTACTGGAATCATCAGGAAGGTGCGCCAACGAGCACTTCGGTCGAACAGCCTGCCGGGAGATGCACAATCAATTTACCCCTCAAGAGGATTAACTTCACCATTATCAGTTGCAAACTTGCAACTTGTAACCCATCAATGTGAAAATGAGTCAGCTAAACGAATGTTCAACATTGAAAACCCGTGTCCTCATTTCCCAGTTTTGCAGAAGTCGTTCTCGTTCCGGCAAAGATGCGAAGCTGCCAAACAACGGTCCGTCTCTTGAATCCTGCCCCATTTCCATCCTGCAGATTCCTGCTTCCTTTTCAACCTTCCAATGGATCGGAGTATATCCGTTCTGAGCGCTCTCATTGGTAAGTGTCGCAGCAGCTAGCAAATACGTGTCATAGAGCCATAGAAAAAATCATCGAGGAGGATGCGCCTGCCACATGGCGACAACTGGAACACCACCGTATTCGATGCAGAAGGGGGTAATTACCGGCAGGAGCATGGTTAGAGAAATACCCTTTCAGGACATCCGTTAAAATGAAGCAATACAGAGAAGATTAGCATGGCCCCTGAATAAGAATGACACACAAAGATCAAGAAACAGTCCGGCTAAAAAATTTAGAAAGGAGAAAAAGGAGTAGCCGTGCAGGTCTCCCTACCAGTACAGTTCGCCCCAAGTAATCAACTTGTGCATTGCACCGTAGACTCATACCTATCCATGGGCTCAACCAGACTTGAGCTTTCAAAATAATTGACACTTCTTAGCCATCGATCTAAGCGATCAGCATATCCTAGCAGCTATTGATCTAAGCACTCAACATCTCGTACCTGTCGATCTAAGTCATCAAAATATCCTAGCCATGGATCTAAGCCATCAATATATCCTGACCATTGGGCCTAGCTATTGATCTGAGCCCCCAACATATTGCAGCCATTGATCTAAGCCATCAACTAGTGAGATTGACAGCCGAGACGATGGAGTAATAGTGGCGTATTTGAACCCAGCGAAGTCCTCCAGGAGGTAGTCAGAGCACCCTCTGTTTCTAACGACTCGAAGAGCCTTTCTTCTGGCCTTACATCCATTGGCTCAACCATATTTGAGCTTTCAAAATAATTGACACTTCTTAGCCATCGATCTAAGCGATCAGCATATCCTAGCCATCGATCTAAGCAATCAACATCTCGTAGCTGTCGGTCTAAGCCATCGAAAATATCCTAGCCATGCATCGAAGCCATCGATATATCCTCACCGTTGGCCTACGCCATGAAGATGTCCTAGCTATTGATCTGAGCCTCCAACATATTGTACCCATTGATAAAAGCCATCAACTAGCGAGCTTGACAGCCAAGATGATGGAGTAATAGTGGCGTATTCGAACCTAGCAAAGTCCTCCAGGAGGTAGTCAGAGCACCTGTTGTTTCTAATGACTCAAAGAGCCTTTCTTCTGGCCTTACAGCATCAGACCGCTTCTGATAACTGCTTCCGCTGGCACACAGCTCTGGCTGCTTCAGGTCAGACACAGCACAGACTGGTTTTAATATACATGGCTGGCTTTCAGTAAACAGACTACCGTCTTCACCCGAATAGAACGCCCCGTAATTATCGCCCTATCTGGGCTGAAAGTTGTGGCGTTCCATTCGGGTGTAGACGGTAGTGTGGTAAGAACTCTTTATCATCTGCTGCATTTAAAGGTGGAAATGACAAGACACATCGCACCTATCTCTTGCCGTGGCTGGTGTGGAAATGACAAGACACATCGCACCTATCTCTTGCCGTGGCTGGTGTCAAACCAGTTTCCGTGAACGACTCTGCAGACTGTATGTCCTTCCAACCATGAGCTGTTCGCCTCCCCACATAAACTGGCTGACCCAGAACTATCAACAATTTGTGCAATCAGAAGGTGGCATTAGAAGGCACCCTTAGAAAAAGGTGCCATTAGGTGCCACCAGGTTCCATTTTATGGTCCCATGAGCTATTCGCCTCCCCACATAAACTTGCTGACCCAGAACTATCAACAATTTGTGCAATCAGAAGGTGGCATTAGAAGGCACCCTTAGAAAAAGGTGCCATTAGGTGCCACCGGGTTCCATTTGATGGTCCCATTAGAAGGTCCCATTATAAGGGTTGATGTTCGGAGGGGCCATTTGAATTCTGCTGAATCACCAGACGCATTCTGTCCCGTCTCACCATAACTGCACCTTAGTGTTGCAGTGAAATGATTCTGCGGGCTTGCACACAGAGGGACAGAGGGTTCCACATCCACACTCACCGATCCTTGGGGCATGCCATTACGTTCTTGGGCATTTGGAGCCGCAGGGAGCTACTAGGTCGTTCGCTTGAGTTAAACTCCAGTTTACTTTGTCAATTCAAAGCTGTTCGGTCTTGCAACTGTAACACGCTGCCATACATTTCTCGGCAGCGACTTGGTGGTGTGGAGGTGCGGACTGCAGCACATTTGCAAACGGCCTCTGCAGCCAGACTGCTGGAAACCAGTTCCGTAAGTGGCACTGCAAAAATCTGTTTGCCTTGCAGGTCATGTTCAGAAGTGGCTTAAGCCGCCAGTACACGGCCAACACAAACTTGAGCAGGGGCCACCGGACCACAATGACGGCTTGCGCCCGCCAGAAAGAAAAACAAGTGGGCCGCTGGCAGTTCAGCAAAGCCTGGCGCACAATGCAAACCCGCCATGGCTAAACGAGGCTACTGGTCCTTTGAGAGAGGAGCAGATGACAACAGAACCACCAACACATCTTAGGGTGCGTCAGAAAATGCTATGACTGGGAGACAAGGGCTCACTTGGAGCTTCCCCCGACTTCAGGTAGGGAACTGCATATGCGCTCAAAGTCCAGGTCATCCAAGATGTGCTTGCCGACAATCTTTGAGAAAGTATCCCATGACACAACGGTCATAGGCGCTAGTTTATTTGCTGGAGTGGTGCGAGAAGCATGTCCGTCTTTCTCTTCACAGCGTGTGAGGATCTTGTCTGAAAGCCGTCCTTGCAAAGCAAGCTCCTCCCAGTTGAAAAGAACCCTCACAAAGTGCGACTGGCCATCCATTGTTGACCAAAGCTCGAAACACATAACTGATGCATAAGGAGGCCATTTCTTCATTGGAACTCCTATAGAAACTGTTCAAGGATGTCAAAAGCAAAAGAGTCAATTCGTAGCCAAAAAACACTTCAGACAGAACCAGATGCAACTCCCCATGCCTTGATAACCAGCCCCCGCCACACACACAGCCACACACTGCCCATCGTAGGTCAGATATGCACCGAAGACGTTTCAAATGTGAAATGAACTTTGCAATTCCAATCCAACTCATAATATGTACGCAGAGAACACTCAGATGAAAGTTCACACCACACCGAGAGATGACACAAGAATTAGCGCCTGAAGAACTTCCACTCGGAAATATGATATAATACAATTGGAGAGTTCAGATGTTCAGCGGCAGTGGCTACAATCCAAAACAACAACCCAACTGAAGGTAGGTACTGAACTCGCCCTCTCTCGGTGTTCGTCTCTCTCTCACTTCTATCTCTCTCTTCTCTCACTCTCAAGGATTGTATCGCTCACCCTCCCTGCTGCACTCAAGTCTCCTCCCTCGCCTAGATCTACCCTGAATGCAACTGCAGTGTGTCGCCCTATTCTTGTGGCTGTGGCCACCTTCTTCCTCAACCTTCTAACACGAGCTATGGTAACCGAACGTCTTCTTCCCCGCCGGGCACTCCCTCCTCCATCTCCCACCTTCCATCCACGTCACACTATTGCAGAAGCAACCCGCAGTGCTTCCGCAACTTCCATATGAACAGTTGATCCTGTTTGCTGATGCTGTTGGGCTTTTATACTTGTTAATCCGCCTTCCAGACATCTTCTGTTGGTTATGGGTTGGTCCCCTTTGCCTCTATTCCCTGCTTCTGCAAGCTTACAAAATGCTTGTATGGATCGATTGACACCTGGCCTCGCGAGTCTGGTGGTCCTGGCTGAAGTTTGTGGTGCCTTCTAAAGACAGACTCTTCAACCCATAACTGTTATCTACCAGGGGCTACCTCCCATGATCTACTTACCTAGCCCGCCTAGGCTTCTGCAATCATTTTACAAATGTACCTACTCTTCTAGAGTATTCGTGAACATTGTACAAGTGGCTGGAACCACTAATGCGTGCAAAATGGGACTTGGACCTGGGACTCGGGACCTGGGACTCGGGACCTGGGGCTCGGGACTGGGACCTGGGACTCGGGACTGTGCCCTAGGACTCTGGTGCAGAGTGAGATCCTTTCACTCCCGCCGGCCTGATTTTGAGGTCCTCCGAGAAAGATTCTACCTTTACCTGTTTATGATGTTAATACCTCTTCTAGCACAGTGTTGTTTCTGCTAACTCATCCTTACTGTACCAATGGTCATCTTCTGGCTCTTGGGAGGCAAACCTGACTTTATACTGCCATTGGGGTCTACCCCTCCGGCCTGTCCTGTAGACATCCTCATCAAGGATCCAATCCCTATCGTATCTACCGCCCACATCTGGTGAGATCATAGATCGTTGTGATGGAAAGCGATCATTAACTGCACAGGGCAGTAACTTAGATGCGTGGAAAACTGGGTACATGTGCAGATGAAATAGTATGTCGACCGTGTAAGAGGGACCCTCTGTGTCCCCCATGACATCTAAGATCTCCCAAGGTCCTCTACGTGGGTGGCAGTTTCTGAGAAATGCCTTCTTTTGGAATGAACTCCTTTCACTTGACCCAGACAAGGTCGCCAAATGGCCTAGCGTGCTTGTTAGCTTATTCCACAATCTGGTGCTGGGCTTTCTGGATGTTGTCAGAAACTTTTTGTAGTTCCTTCTCGTAGTGAATTGTAAACTCGCTAGTGCCAGGTGGCAATCTCTGAATCTGATCGCGATTTGAACAACCTATAGGACATCGTGGACCCCACACTTTGTGCAATTCATTTGGTGTACGGTCAGTTGCTAGATGCACGAGTTGTTGTAGGTACTAGCTACTTTAAGTAGGAGCCCGTTCCAATCTACCTGATTTGGTCTAATGTACATGTGAAGCACTTGCCGTAGCAGTTTGTTAATTTGTTCAGTCTGTCCATTAGTCTTGGGGTGCCGGCCTGATGACACAGCGAACTCAGACTCGTCGACTTGCATCAACCGCTGCTACTGCTCGCCGGTACATACGTATCTGTCGTTAACTATCGGCAATTGGTGCCAGTACTCTCCAACCCAATGATCAGAGAACTTATGGATTACTGATTTCGTCTTTTCCTCACTGGGCAAGGGTACGACAACAGCAAACTTGCTGAATCTATCCACTATGATTATTACTTGAATCTTGCCACCTCGACTCCTGACCTTTGTGTCCATACAAGCAACAGACTCCTGACCTTCGTGTCCATACAAGCAACAGACTCCTGACCTTTGTGTCCATACAAGAAACAGATCACCTGGACCCGATGGTATCGGAAAGGACTTCAGTAGTCCTAGGGTAGGCTGCATGGAACTCTTGTTCCGCTGACATACTTTGCAGCCTTGGATGTAGACGATGCTGTCTTGTTTCATCCCCACCCACGTATAGGACCTAGGAGTTGGCATAAGTCTTTCTCCATCCAAAATGGCCCTCTGAATTATGAGATTCCCTTAGTATGAGCCTACGAACTTCCGTATTGTCTGGGACACACAATCTGTCTTCCTTGTTAATCTTCTCAAACAATAGTCCATCGGTCATCCTATAGTTAGGTTCCTCGTGAGGTGAAGTCTGTACTCTGCAAATAATCTCACTGTAGACTTTGTCCTCTACATAGGCATCCTTCATTTTGTGCTGCAGTTCGGCACCTGCATCTAAGTAAGCTACCATAGCTCCAAAGAAAACGACACGTCGACTAAGCACATCAGCGACTCAGCGGCCCACCTAGCTAATTTAGTGGACACCAGGCCGGCGACTTCGGCCTCAAGAGCCAAGTCTCTTAACCACTACAGCCAGGACACGGTGTTCAAAAGTGGAATCGTACCGGTCGTGATATCCACCCCACCCCTGCAAGGCTGTAGTGTCCAACTCAACACACACCACACACAACACCCATGGACACGGCAAGTCTCGTACACTTCGCTCTGTAGTCAGCACGTAACCCCCGCTGGTACTCTTACCCGCTCACACAGACGGGACTTATCAATGCCCGCGGTTCACGGGAGCTTCCACAGTAGATCATCACAGATAATCCATAAAACAAAAAAGGCATAGATAGGCAATACAGTAAAAGGTACGTTTGTGTGGTTAAGCGTCAAGTGCCCACACACCCATCTGCCGCCGAAGCAGCACACTTGCACAGATATATTAATATCTATAAAAGGATGGAGGGCATAAGGCAAATACCGAATGAACAACAATTACGCAGAACATAGACAATTACTTGCACCACAACCCAAAAGTCCCCCCCAACAAGAAAGCACTTCTGTGTGTGCGTGTTAAATTTTCCCCACAACAGCCCCAATTCCACCCAGATGAATAGATTCAGAATGAAATCAGCTGTTGTCCTATTGCAGACCATGAGAGCAGTTGAGTTGAGACAGTCCAACGTTTATACAATTTTACAATTTTACCCCTTCCATATTCTGGTTATCTTTGGGGTACCCCTTCCATTTGTTCTTGCAGCTCCCCTTTTACTGTGTCTCGCACGTACAAGGCTGCCCACGTTGATTGTGGTTGAGCGGCAGCTGCCAAAATCCCCATGTGCCTTAGCGGCCCACTTGCGCCTTATGAAAGGAGGCAGAGTAAAGGGGATGGTATACTCCTGTTCGTTTCACTTCAGATCTCCAGCTTATATTTTGTCTGTTCTCTTAATGATGCTCATTCGTACGTTGTTTGCTAGTAGCACATAAGGGGAGGGTAAAGGGAAAGGGGTAAGAAACGGAGTTCTGTAGGGAGTAAGAAGCTGGGGAGGGAGAAAGGATAGGGGAGGAATCGGAGCTCGCGCGTGTGTGTGTGCGTGTGTGTGTGCGTGTGTGTGTGTGCGTGCGTGTGTGTGTGTGTGTGTGTGTGTGTTTTGAATTTTCACCACAACAGCCCCTATTCCACCCAGATGAACAGATCCAAAATCAAAGCATATTTAAATAATTTAATCCTAGTACAGACAACGAAAGCCCTTGAGTTCAGACAAGCCAACAGTGAAACAGTTTCACCTCAATAGCAAGCAACATGAAGTACAATAGCTGCATGTAAACCCCTTTCTTGAATGTGTTCACATTTGCTTTCTTCGGNGGACACGGCAATTCTCGTACACTTCGCTCTGTAGTCAGCACGTAACCCCCGCTGGTACTCTTACCCGCTCACACAGACGGGACTTGTCAATGCCCGTCGGTTCACGGGCGCTTCCACAGTAGTATGGATTCCGTACATGCCCAGATGTACGGAATCCATACTACTGTGGAAGCGCCCGTGAACCGACGGGCATTGACAAGTCCCGTCTGTGTGAGCGGGTAAGAGTACCAGCGGGGGTTACGTGCTGACTACAGAGCGAAGTGTACGAGAATTGCCGTGTCCGTGGGTGGTGTGTGTGGTGTGTGTTGAGTTGGACACTACAGCCTTGCAGGGGTGGGGTGGATATCACGACCGGTACGATTCCACTTTTGAACACCGTGTCCTGGCTGTAGTGGTTAAGAGACTTGGCTCTTGAGGCCGAAGTCGCCGGTTGGAATCTGTGCTTGCACGGAGGAGGACTTAGGCCCAGATGTACGGAATCCATACTACTGTGGAAGCGCCCGTGAACCGACGGGCATTGATAAGTCCCGTCTGTGTGAGCGGGTAAGAGTACCAGCGGGGGATATGTGCTGACTACAGAGCGAAGTGTACGAGAATTGCCGTGTCCGTGGGTGTTGTGTGTGGTGTGTGTTGAGTTGGACACTACAACCTTGCAGGGGTGGGGTGGATATCACGACCGGTACAATTCCACTTTTGAACACCGTGTCCTGGCTGTAGTGGTTAAGAGATTTGGCTCTTGAGGCCGAAGTCGCCGGTTCGAATCTGTGCTTGCACAGAAGAGGACTTAGGCCCAGATGTACGGAATCCATACTACTGATTCTTCGGCCAATGCAGCATCTCCTGGTAGGAGTAGACCTTTAAGAACCGTC